AATGGAATTTAGTGCACTTTAACCACTAAACCACTGCTATATTGGGTTCTCTCTTATTAATTCTAGCAGTAGATCAACGAATAGGGAATTGTATATTGAGATTGAAGCAACTAGATGAGATAAAAGGTAATTTAACGAAACTAAGGGAGTATTTTTAGGAATTTTTGGAAGACCTAGTTAGACATCTAAGCTACCTTTCCTCTTAATTATGGATTTAATTTTGAATTTTTTAGTTAATTATGTAATCTTATTAATCAATTAATTAATTTTTATTTTATTGTTTACTATAATAATTTATATTGTTACCATTGATACAGTTTAGTAAGTCATTAAAAAAAAGTTATGGAAAAACAATAGTGTAATCATAAATAAATTCTTCCCTAAATAAAATACAATACTTGGCAAAAACACTTATAAATTCAACTAAACAAATAACTACAAATAATCGAAGAATCATAAGAAAATTTTGACAATCATTTAACTCTAAAAAACAAGTGAAAAACATGAAAAATAATGATAAATAAAAGATATAAAAGAGAAATAGAACATGACAAGAAATTCAAAAAAAAAAAAAAAGAAACTGTAAAAAATGAAGATAATCAAACAGTTCGATATTTAGATTGAAGCAAAAAGAAGCATTGAATCTCATATCTTTTAATATGAAAAAAAAAAAAATCTGTCTAAAAATGAAGATAATTAAATCATTCGATATTTAAATCAAATAATAAAAAAAAAAAAAGGGATTGAATCTCACCTTGTTTGACAAATATATTAACCATCTCTATATGCATCATTACCCACTTCTATTCTGCATCAAATCATATCCTGTAAAACTTTAGTTAAAAAAAAAAGTAGAAAGGAAAAATAAATTTAACCAATATCTAACTAATTTTTGAAGTTAAGTTAATGAGAGGAGTTGTATGAAACAAACAAACCAAAGGAGCGTCTTTAGCGCCAATAAGCTAGGCAATGGGAAAGAAACTGAACTCATAAATTATTGCTTCTTTTTTTTTTTTTTTTTTTTTTTTTTGGTAGAAACATAACAAATTCCAACTCATGAGTCGTTCTTTAGCGCCAATATAAAGCTAAGGGCAATTGGGGAAACGAAATGATACTCATAAATTTATTTGCTTTTCTTTTTTTTTTTTTTTTTTTTTTTTTTTTTTTTTTTTTTGAATGGAAATTATTGCATTTATATTAAAAATAGCCTCGTTTTTTGGTTATATTCAGCATATAGCCTATATATATCAATTTCTTATTTGGGAATTGGGAGCACAATATTAGCATCTCCATTCTCAGCAAGCTAGCAATATTATACTCTCTACGTCTTAAAAAAATAGTTCTCTTTCTATTTTCACACAGATTAAAAAAATAACAATTATTATAGTTAAAGGACAATTTTATTTCATATAATTTTCTTATTATGTCCATATTAAATAACACATGAGCAATTATTATATTGAACTAATAAGTACTAGTAGAAATTTATGATGGTTATTGAAAATAAAATTAAATCTAATAAGGGTGTAGCAGACAATCTAATGATTAACTATAATGCAAAAGTGGACTATATTTTAGGATAAACCAAAAAGGAAAGATGAACTATTTTTTTGGAACGGAAGGAGTAAATCGTTTTGAAATGATTAGTTTATCCTAAAATATAAGTCATTTTGAATATTTTATTTTTTTTGTGATAATATCTGGATGATGTACCATCGTTTGTAATATATTGTGGAAAGATGAACTATTTTTTTGGAACGGAAGGAGTAAATCGTTTTGAAATGATTAGTTTATCCTAAAATATAAGTCATTTTGAATATTTTAAAGAGTAATAAATAATTTTTTTCTCAAAGGCGGAGCTAGAACAATGATTTTAGAGGAGTGAAATGAAATTTTTGTAAACTTTTAGAGGGCCAAATGTAATTTTTTTTTCTATATTTTGAATGATTAAACATAATTTTCATTAGAAAAATTTTTAAAAATTTTTTTTTCGGGGCCCAAAGCTCCACTCCTGGTTAGGCATGATCACGGTTCGATTCTAAATTGGAACCGAATCGAAATCAAACCAGTCAAAACTGAAATCGAACCGTGGTCAATGTTTTAAGGTTGTAAGAAATCGGTGGTTTCGGTTTAAAATCGGTGGAAAAAAAAAAGAAAATATCATACTTCACACATGATTTTTAATTGTTAAATTAATTTTATTTTTCATTATTAAATATAGTAACTTTACCATCATCTTAAAATTTATTAATATAAATATTTTTAAATTAATATAAATTAATTTTATTTTTCATTATTAAATATAGTAACTTTACCATCATCTTAAAATTTATTAATATAAATATAACTTATAAATTATAAGTTGAAAAAGAGAAAAAAATTGCTTCTCGTTTAAAAATTTTTAATCTAAATCTTTTACCCTTTTATAATATATATTTTTTACATATAAATTAAACAATATTTACTTAAGATTTATTTTTGACCCTTAAATAAAATAGAAAGACATTTTTCTACAACGGTAAGAGGCAATTTGACCAAAATTTTTTGGAATAAAAATTTATATTGTAATTTTTTTAACTTTAATTTAGATAAAAAGACGTTTTGCTCATTTATAATGGTAAAAAAATGGCTACTTGAAGGGTATATTTTGAAATAAAAAATTCATATTATGATATTTTTGGTTAATTGTTAAATAAAATTAAAGGACATTTTTATCCTTTATAACGGTAAACAAACGGAAAATTTAAAAGGTATTTTTATGAATAAAAATTTATAAGTTAACTATAAATACCTTAATAATCTTCCTTTTTTTTCACAATATCATTTTTTTTCTCTAAAGTCCATTGAATTTCTCCTATCATTTCTTTTCTTATAATATAAATTAAATACAAGTCTATTTTTTGACATGTCTATCAATTTAAATTTATAGAAATTAAATACTAACTAGTAAAGATTTTAAAATTTATTGTTGGTTGTTATGTTATAAATTTTTTAATATTTTAAAAAACTATTAATTTCTCTTTAAGTCTTTTTTAAGATTTAAATACTATTATGGAGATTAATTTTTCTTATTAGCTAAAAAAAATTTAAGGATAAAACAAGAATTTATCTCAAATTTCCTGTTTGCCAAACCCGACCGATAGTCAAAACCTGGCGGTTGAAAAAACCGTCCTAAAAACTGTTCGGAAATTTTAAAACTATTAATTTACTCTTTTAGTCTTTTTTTAATTTAATACTATTATTTATTATTAATTTTCTTATTTAGCTAAAAAAATTTAAAAGGATAAAAAAAAAATTATCTAAATCCGGTTCCAAACCGACCGAATCAAAACTGGCGGTTTTAAAACCGTCTAAAAACTGTTCGGTTCTAGTTCCACTTTTTTGAAACCAAAACCAGTGGTTTTGGAACCGTGATCATGCCTAGCATGATTTTGTCAATATTATCCTTAATTACGTTAAAAACAATAAATTATCTTCACAAACTATTCTTGGTTTTGAGATAAAATGCAACTTAGTTGAATTACCATTACTTTTGTTGTAATTTAGGATAATTAATGACTTATTTAATCCTCGTATGAAAACCTTGAATGACTCATATTTTTAGATAAAATGGGTATTACCTTTTTTTTGTGTAAACCACCGGTATCCGAATTACATTACTAAGGACCCCGTTAACTCTTCAATTTGATTAAAAATTCTTCTTATACAGTGCATCATAATTGTAAATGGTCTTATATTATTTTACAATTAGTAATTGGCATCCCTCTAAAATAAATTTTACTAATTGAGTTAAAATAGAAAAAAAAAAAAGAAAGAAAAATACATTAATTATTAAACTATTTATTGAGGAAGTCATTAGTTTGAATTATTTTTATTCTAGTATCATTTTATTTAAAAGAGTTCAAATAATCTAAATTAGGAATTCCTCAAGCATAATTCTCATATCAATAAAATTAGATGGGTAATGAGCAGTAATAGAGAGAATATGAGTAGTTGGGCCAATAAAAGCCCATCCCCATCCACAATTTGCATGTCATTTAAATTTGAAATGTCTTTTTGAACTTTTCGGCCTTTTTTACCCAGTCCAAACTCCATCAAAACATCTTCATCATCGTTGTAACCCAAGCCCACCGAGCCACTGGCAACTAAGCCCAATGATCCATTTACACCTTCAATTCATCCAAATAAAACTAGGGGTAACATAACAAATATCAGAAATTAATTTTTTATATTAATAAAATGCCAAAAAATATATAATTAAGAGAGCTCAGTATTTATAAAAAATAAATCAATAATCTCCAAACTATCTTTATATTGCTTCTATGATTCAACAAAGACGACGAGGACTAAAAACAACAACAGTAACGGCAACGATAATCATGACGACAATGACCGTAATAAAAGGATAAATTGATAAATGAATATGAAAATGATATATTTTAATTTTGAAGTCAAACTTACATTTTTTTTAAAAAAAAAAAATTTAAATATAACATTTATTACAATATCCTATAAAATAATTGTTCTATGAAATACTCAATGTGTTATAGACAACCACATATACAACAAAATATTAAAAGCTATCCAATCTAATCCTAATGCTCAAAAGAAAAAAAATATATATAAAAAAATTATTTTCACTTTATTAGGTTAGATAAATTTATTTCATTTGGTTGGATTTAATTTTTTCATTTATTTTAAATAAAAAATACCAAATATCCGGATTAGACTTAATCCAAAAAAATTCAGATTTAAAGTTATTCAATTAGATTTTCAGTTTTAAAACCGAAAAGTGATCGCCTACTTGTACTCCAAGAAATTGGACGGAGGAAAAAAAGAAACAGAAGCTTGACAACCATCAAGAATTCCAACTCAAGAAACCGAATCTTAAAAGGATTATATCTCTGTATATGTATAATAAAATTCCAATTTTTAACCTTTTCTTGATCTAACAAATTCCATCTTCTCCCTCCTTTTCGTCCTTCTTCAATTAATCGACCATGGTTTTAGACGTTTCTATAAAGAACTTGGTTTCAGATACATCGGTGTCAGTTTTTGGCTCCTCTAACCCCACGACAGTTCTCTATGTGACCGCATTATGCAAGCAAGCATCAAAGCCGGAAGACATTGTGGAAAAGCTTGTTGAATTAGGTATGCATACCACTAACCAAATCCAAGATTTTGCACATGCGTTGTTCGATAAATTGCTGCACAGAATTTCCAGGTTGAATTTGTATGACAAAGAGGAAAAAGAACTAATTAAGGTGGCTAGAAATCAAAGAAATTATGGCATGATCAGTATTGTTGATGATAGAGAAAGTGTTTTCTGTAGCGATGATAGGAAGAGGAAAATTGAATGTCGTAATGATGATATTGACAGTTTGAGAAAGAAATCGAGGCAAGAGTATTTGAAGAAAAGAGAGAAAAAGAAATTGGAAGAGCTTAAAAATGAATTAGAGGATGAAAATTTTGCGTTTGATAATGTTAAGTATAGTAAACAGGAATATTCCAAGGTTAAACATAAGAGAGAGGTTTACGAGATAGTAAAGAAGAGAAGTGATAATGATTACCCTAACGAGTACATGATACCAGAAGCTTATGATCAAGAAGGTAATGTTGATCAAAGAAAGAGATTTGCAGTTGCTTTAATGGGTGAAAAAAAAAGGTGGGTCTGAAAAGGAGGAAACATGGGAAGAGTATCAGACTCGTAAAGCTATGGTTAGTTTTGGTTCAAAAGATAGAGAACAAGAAGGCGATCGATATCAGCTTTTGTTTGATCAGATTTACACTCTTGGAGACCAGTTACCAGCTTCTCAGTCAATAGAGGATAAAGAAGTGTTGGTGTCTGAGGCTATAAAGAACGTTCAGGATGACAGAAAGGCTTTGCCTATTTATCAGTTTAGAGAGAAATTGTTGGAAGCAATTAAGGATCATCAAATTTTGGTAATTGTAGGAGAAACTGGGTCTGGAAAAACTACACAGATACCTCAGTATCTCCATGAGGCAGGATATACTAAAAACGGAAAAGTTGGTTGTACTCAGCCACGGAGGGTGGCTGCAATGAGTGTTGCTGCCAGGGTAGCGGGAGAAATGGGATTGAAACTTGGGCATGATGTTGGGTATAGCATTAGATTTGAAGATTGCACTTCAAAGAAGACAGTCCTGAAATATATGACTGATGGCATGCTTTTGAGAGAGTTTATGGTAGAACCAGATTTGCAAAGTTATAGTGTGATCATGGTGGATGAGGCACATGAGAGGACAATATCGACTGACATAATATTTGGTTTGGTGAAAGACTTGGCAAGGCTTAGAAGTGATCTTAAGTTGTTAATCACCAGTGCAACTCTTGAGGCACAAAAGTTCTCCAGTTATTTTGATTTTGCTCCTATTTTTGAAATTCCAGGGAGGCAGCATCCTGTTGATATATTGTACAAGCAACCAAAGAGCAGTTGTTACTTGGAGGAAGCTATTGCAGCTACAATTCATGTACATGTAACTCAACCACCAGGTGACATTTTGGTGTTCCTGACTGGTCAAGAAGAGATTGAAAATGCAGCAGAGACTTTGAAGGAGAAGATGAGACATTATGGAAGTAAAATTGCAGAGCTTGTAATATGTCCAATATTTGCTAACCTTCCCACAGAGCTACAAGCTAGGACTTTTGATCCTACACCGAAAGGAGCTCGCAAGGTTGTCTTGGCAACAAATATTGCTGAAACTTCTTTAACCATCCATGGGATAAGGTATGTTATTGATTCTGGTTATTGTAAGATGGACTTTTATAAGCCAGGGTCTGATATGGAGTCCTTGCAGGTAACAGAAATCTCTAAAGCATCGGCTATGCAACGAGCTGGTCGTGCTGGAAGGACAGGGCCTGGGAAGTGCATTCGCTTGTATACTTCTGATCACTACAAGCAATTGAAAGATAATTATATTCCAGAAATACAAAGAAGCAATATTGCAAATGCAGTGCTTACAATGAAGGTCCTAGGGATAGAAGACTTGGTGAATTTTGATTTTATGGATCCACCATCAAATGAGTCTTTGCTAAAAGCACTTCAACTTCTTTTTGTCTTGGGTGCCCTGAATAGTCAACTTAAGCTCACTAAGATCGGTAGGTCAATGGCGGAGTTTCCTCTTGATCCAAAACTCTCCAGGGCACTTATAGCTTCGGAAAAATATGGTTGCTCAGAGGAGATTATGACAATCGCTGCTATGCTTTCTGTTGGAAATGCTATATTTTATTGTCCTAAGAATCCTAAGAGTAAGCAAATCCTTGCAGATAAAGCAAGGAATAATTTTCATATTGGGCATGTTGGTGACCACATTGCCCTTCTAAGGGTCTATGATTCTTGGAAGGAAACAAACTTCTCTACCCAATGGTGTTATGAAAACTTCATCCAAGCAAAAAGTATGATGCGTGCAAGGGACATTAGGGATCAGTTGCAACGTCTAATGGAGAGGGCCGGAATTGAACTTAAATCAAATCCCAGTGACTTGACAGCAATAAAGAAGTCTATACTTTCAGGATTTTTCCCTCATATTGCAAATTTGCAAGCTTCAGGATGCTATAGAACTTTAAAGAAGCCTCAGACTGTCTATTTGCATCCTAATTCAGGGCTATCAAGGGCATTCCCGAGGCCAATGTGGGTTGTTTACCATGAGCTAGTGCTTACAGGAAAAGAATATATGAGGCAAGTAACTGAAGCCAAACTAGAGTGGTTATTGGAGATCGCTCCCGATTACTATTATGGGAGAGAACTTGAAGATGCTATCATGAAGAAGTACAAACGCAGGGAACTAATGTAATACCATGATTGTCTCATGAAGAATAATGAGTTACAACTATTATTTTGTTCAAAAATATTGAATTTGATAAAGATACATAATATTTCCCCCTTGCAATTCAGTACTCTTGAATGATTTTAATGTTCTTAAATATCTGTTTCGGTTGGAATCAAAGTTAATGTGCTTTATAATATCCAGGGATACTGAATTATGGTTTACTATAGGCTTAGCTTTAGCTACAGTTTTCTTTTTTACTGATTGAGTTGATAAGCAACTGCTGCTGTAGTATTTTCGGCACACTGCACACTACACCTGCAGTTTTGGTCTTTAATGTTGTTTATTTCTCAGATTATCAAAAATCCCATTAACCAGTTTTTCTTTACTGTCAAGTTCTTTTTTTTTTTTTTAAACTTCAAATAGAAGAAATATTATTGATAGAAATGGAATAATACATCTGGAATTGATTCCAAACTTGAAGACCAGCATGGTTATATGTACTCTAGCTAGAGTATGAGCATTCATATTTGCTTGTCGACGTACCCATTTAACAGAAATATTTAACCTGTTAGTTAAAATAAGTTTACAGTCATGGATGACAGCGCCAAATTCAGACTATCAGCAATATGAGAACACGAAGCTTTAATAACAAGTTGTGAATCAATAAAAACACAACCAGGACCCAAATACAAGTACCGCAACCAGAGAAGAGTGGCTCTCAAGGCCATAGCCTTGACCAAATCTGCAGAACCTAAGCCTTGAAATTGACCAGAAACAGCAACCACAAAAAGCCCTTCACCATCTTCCAAAACTCCACCATAACCCCATATATTCCAATTGGAACTTTAGAAAAAAAAAAAAATCCAATTTCTAGAATTGAATTCTAACATTTTATTTGAAGTACAAAGATTATAAACTCCAATACGTTTTTATGCTTGAAACCACTTGCATTTTGATTGGAGAACATAGAACAGTAGAATCCAAAATTCAGCAGAGGGCAAACGACATCGTTTTTGCTCAGCTCCAGCATATGACTATAATATCGTCGCCTTGCGTAGATTCTGTGCAGAACTATTTGTCTATTTCAAAAAGCCTCCTCTGTTTCCAGTATCGCCAAATTGATATCAAATTCAATTTACGTTTCCCACTTTTTTCCACTTTCTTGATCGCTAACTAAAACTATTTGTCGTTTGGGTCTGAGTCAAGGTTTAGGAATGGCGGATTCTGAGGAAAAGGTGGTGGCCGTGATCATGGTCGGTGGTCCTACTAAAGGTAAATGGGATTTGCTGTTTCAATTCCTTTTATTATTATTATTATTATTATTATTGTTATTATCTCTTTGATTTTTCTTGTTGAAGTAAACATAAAGATTTGTTCTTTTTTTTTTTTCATTTTTCTTTTGTGGGCAGGTACTAGATTTAGGCCACTTTCATTTAATACTCCAAAACCTCTGTTCCCATTAGCTGGGCAGCCTATGGTTCACCATCACATTTCTGCTTGTAAAAGGGTTTGTTTCAAAATTTAAATTGTTGATTTTTTTTTCCTTTTTTTTTTTTCGCTTTCATGATTTTGTGTGTGTATGTTTGAATTAGATACCAAATTTGGCTCGGATTTTTCTTGTTGGATTCTACGAGGAGCGTGAATTTGCTTTATATGTATCTTCAGTCTCTAATGAATTCAAAGTACCAGTAAGGTACTTAATAGCTACTAGTTCATTTTAAATTGAAGATAGTATTTTTTGTTTGCATTTAGTTTGGCCTTTTGTTGATGGGTGTGTTGCTATAGATATTTGAAAGAGGAAAAACCGCATGGCTCTGCTGGTGGTCTTTATTTCTTTAGAGACATGATCATGGAAGATAGCCCGGTTTGATCTTTTCACTTTACATTCTTGATTTTGTTTTTCTTTTAGTATATTTTTGGGTTTGACAGAATCCCAATATTTATGTGATGCTCAATTGAATTAAAAAATATATTTTTTTTTGTACTTCTCTATAATATATGATATTTTATATGTTTATAGCATTCAATTTTGTTGGGCAGTCACATATCTTTTTGCTGAATTGTGATGTTTGCTGCAGTTTTCCATTACCAGATATTCTTGGTAAGTCTTGCACTTTCTATGATTGTGATTTCTCTAAATAATACAGTTACAGCTTCTTAGATATTTGTTATTGGAAGCTCAAAAATTATTATCTTGTTCACTTATGTTTGTCTTGTGATTTTCAGAGGCACATATAGAATATGGTGGGATGGGAACGATGTTAGTAACCAAGGTTGGTGGATGATGTGCCGATTTATTGTAATAGTAACTTCTATTGCTTTCACTCTTTCTGCATTGTGATATCTTCTCATTTTTCTGAAATTTTGTATTTGATTTTTTTTCCATGTTTATCTCTTGTGTAGGTTTCGGCTGAGTCAGCAAATCAATTTGGGGAACTGGTTGCTGATCCTACCACCAAAGAACTGTTGCATTACATAGAGAAACCAGAGACTTTTGTAAGTTCATGATTTTGTTTTTCCATCAGCTTTTAACCTACTTATATCAATGATTTATTTTTTATAAATAGTGCTCCCAGTCATCCTTAGGTTTAACCAGTTTTTATACAATGCAGGTAAGTGATTTGATAAATTGTGGAGTGTACGTCTTCTCCCCGGATATCTTTACCGTCATCCAAGGTGTGTCTGCTAATCAGGAAGAAAGAGGATCTTTGCTTATTACAATTTTTGAAAGTGAAGTTTGCCTTGGATGCATTTGAATATTTGGATCATTTATTGGTCCTATTATAATTTCAAAATTTCAGGACTATCTTATCTTAAATCATTTTACTACTTTGGCCTTTCAAGTAATAGGGCAACTAATTTAATGATTATCTAATATATTCCATTGATATATTTTATTCATCTGATTTACTGATATCCTCAATGGGCACTTGCCACAAAGCTTTAATCATAACGCTGAACAATTATTGACCAAGAAGGTTCTGCTGAATGTTTCTATTGAATCCAAAGAATTCTTATGAATTGAAGACATGCTAGAACCTTTAGGTATATTAGGGTGCTCTTATAAATAAGAAACACCTAGTTGTAAAGTTGCCGTCATCAATGAGTGAGAACCATGGGTTAACAGCAAAATGCATTGCAGTGGTTGTTATGTTGCATGCAGGCTTCTATTCATTGTCACCTTCTAAATGTACTGAGAGAATTTTGAAATGGCATCAACATTTCCTCTATTTTGCTGAAGCTCAGATTCTTGAGGGTCTGTTTTAGTTACCTTATCTACTGATGCTTGTCTTATGCTTTTTATTGTTTTCCCCCAGTATTGATGCCATCTCATGAGAGATGACTTGACTATCCCTTCATTTAAATATGGATGACATTTGATTTTAGATTGACGTTGTCTCTCTTTTCAGCTAAACAATGCGTGTTACTAGTGTATCCCTGGTGCCAATTTCTGTTACTTTGCAAAACTGGACTTTGGTCCAAACCAAGGGCTTTACAGCAAGTATGATGAAACCCTTGTTATTTTTAAGGTTTTATTCAATCTGAAATATGCTACCGATATTAAGAGTAGAAGTTGCTTTGTGCAAAGTGCTAGTCTTCACATGTCTCTTTTATGGTATTTGGAACATTTGAAAATCATCTGGGTTGTTAAAGAGAAAAAACAACCATTTCAAGTTTTACTTATTTGGTACCCCATTTTGTTTAATCCATAATGAAACCTTTATATGCTTTCATTTGGTAAAACTGGTTGTATGTTTAAGAATAATCCACGCTGCTGCTGATCATAACCTGTCTTTGGTGCTCCACTGCATGTAACATTTGTATTGTCATGTCATGAACGATGAAAATCTCAAGCGATATCCAAATGTTTCAGGTTTTTATAATTTGGAATGCGACTTATGCAGATAATTTCCATATGATATAATTTTAGTAGCTAACTCATGTTTTGTTACTTGCAGCAAATCTACTTCGTGGATCTAGTTTTGAGGGCCTCCATTCTATGACAAGGTTGACATCTTGTTACATTTTTAAAATTTAAATTTTTCTATGCTTTTCTTTCAAATATCAGTTGTACATCAGAAAGAATGTATACAATTTGATCATAGAAGAAATGTTATCCCTATCAAAAGAGACATATCAGCTATATATTTGTTGTGAGATTTCACTTTCTAGGATTTTGAAATACATCTGCTCGAGCTTTAATGCCTTATTGTGGAATACCATCATAATTTATATTAGTCTTTGCTAGAATAGCGATCTTCCATTTGCTGATAGATTCATTCACTTGGTGATTGTATTTGTACGACATCTTCTTTTTATCTATTTGTTTTGCAAGCATCAGTTGATGTTAAAAGCTGCAGTTTGCATTGACACTTTTTTTATCCCTACAGAACCACCCTTCCTGCAGATTTTGTAAGGTTAGATCAAGATATTTTGTCACCTCTTGCTGGAAAGAAGCAACTGTATACATATGAGACCATAGATTTCTGGGAACAAATCAAAACTCCAGGGTAAAGTTCCGCTTTATATTATTATTTCATTTAGCTTTTGAATTTTAAACCTTGACCATTATCTAACCATGCAAACATGTTGTTGATGGTGCAGGATGTCCTTGAAATGTTCTGATTTATATCTTGCCCAATATCGATTGACCTCCCCTCATCTTTTGGCCACTGGGGATGGAACTAGAAGAGCTAGCATCATTGGTGATGTTTATATTCATCCGTCAGCAAAAGTGCATCCAACTGCAAAGGTCTTTTGTTTTTCTCATTATTAGCATAGCATTACCCCAAGGCAACATGAAATTGCGTTATAAAAGTATTCTAACAATGATGCCATTTGCACTCTAAATGTGGGTTGGGTTTAAGTGGAGCTGGAATTGTTGGTCTCACGTATAGTCAGTTGCTTGTTTAGCTAATACACATGCCTAAGAACTATACGCCTGCAATCGAAAGCTTTTGTCACCGTATACAGCATAATGACTGATTTAAACTAGAATTCGTTAGTTTAAACATTTCCTTATTAAGTAGGTTTCCAATTCTTCTTTCAGCTAATCAGTCGCTTTCATATAACAACACAAACTAGTTAGCCCCATGATAGTTAAATTAGGTCATTCATGAACTTTAGGGAATCTGCGCTTCTGCTATATCTTACCTTATAATGGATCGGGATCAACTAATCAAGTCTAGTGATAATGATTTCAAATAAAGTTTGCTTTTGCTGGTGCCTAGATGTTTAGCATGCTTAAATATTAGTTTCTAACAGACCAATTGCTGACTGAAACTTCAATCTTGTCTTTTAATTGCACAATTCGGTTATTCACTTCAGGAGCTTTAAGAAGTTTTTTGGAAGACATGACAGTTTGCACTAATAAACAATTGGTGGACCACCTGGAAACGAGTGGCACTGTCATATATTTGAGCGGATGTGTGATTGACAAACAATCAATTTATTGGTCACTCTTATAATGGGATACAGAATGTCCTGACTACCATAGAAAGCCAAATCTATCTTCTCAAAAACTAAACTATAGTGATCCAAACGTTTATAAATTGTTCCTTTAACTATATATTTATGGATTCTTATTTTGTAGAACATCTAGTCAGTGTTCTAAAATAACCAAAAAAATAATCTCCTTGTTGATTTATATTGTGGATGGCCATAATTGCCAACATATTTCCGCTTGTTTTACCCCCTTTGTTTGTGCAATTTGTGGTTGGAGGTGGCTAGGGCCACATTTTCAGCACTCCGTTTTTCATCTATCTGTGTATTATATTACTTATAATTCATTAGTTGCTTATGTACAGATTGGGCCCAATGTCTCTATTTCTGCAAATGTTCGTGTAGGAGCAGGCGTGCGGCTCAGGAGTTGCATCATCTTAGATGATGTTGAACTTCAGGTATAGAACTGAATCCACATAAAAGAATTCCGACAATAATTCTTTATCATGGTAACAAAAAATTTATTGTGTTCTCCTCACAGGAAAATGCTCTTGTTATGAATTCTATTATTGGTTGGAAATCATCTATAGGGAGATGGTCGAGAGTCCAGGCAAGTCAAGTGACAAGATTTAGTGTTATGTTATGCATTTAATCCTCTAAGCATATCTGAATAATTGCCAACTATTTCATTTTAATTTATTGCGACTTATTTTAATCAATAAGGTATACTATATAACCCTGTTACAAGTTAAATAAAGCTATAGAAATGGCTGCAAGCTCATTAATGAATCAGAAAACCTGATCAGCAAATACGAAGCCGTTTTACACTTGTTGTTTCTAATTTTTTTTATAATATTCACATAGTTAACTTTGCATGAAATCTCAATGCCTCCCAAATTTCTGGAAATACCGATGTTATCTGACAACAATCAAGTCCCAGATGCTGATTATAAATTAGGATCTGTTAGTAAATTTATGGCTGATTAAAGTTTAATTACTATGCAGGCTGATGGAGACTACAATACAAAGCATGGAATAACCATCATTGGTACTTGTCCTCACCTTCTAATTTGTCTGCTATGGGAACCCCAATGCCATTGAAAAAGAAAATCTTGAATTAATTTTTTCTTAAATTTTGTTCTTCTGCAGGAGAAGCTGTGATAGTTGAAGACGAAGTTGTCATTACTAACTGCATTGTTCTTCCTAATAAGATCCTTAACTGCAGCTTACAGGACGAGACCATCTTATAAGACAATGGAGAGTGTTCTTATTCAGCCTTTAATTTTTGAGTTTTGCTGCTTTCCTTCATGGATACTGGCTATCAGGAACTGAGGTCATCAAATTTTCTCACCACACCTCTCTTTATGACCCTTTTGGTTTTCTTATTTATGACCCTGCAGTTAGACCATTAGGTCATGTTTGGAATCCAATTATTGGAGTAGGAATTTGTTTCTTATTTGGTATACAAGAAACCAATTTTTTTTTTTTTTTTAAATTAAGGAGGTTTAATGTTTGAAGAATTTGAATTTAGAATGAAGCCCCCATCTATTTATATGTCTTATTTAAATTGAATTTAATTGTCTAAAAAAATAATCTTAAATGGGAATTTGAAAATAACTCTTTGGTTTTTACAATTCAAGGGTATTTTCAGTCATGTAAACCTTGGTTTAGGAAAAATGGAAGCTCCCATACTTTTTTTTTTTTTTTAATTCTTAAATCTGCTTAAAGGATATTAATGCACTTAGATTTTGATTCCTAATGTATAAACCATCAATTTCGCTCCGAACTCTTATAGCTCCCAACTCTTTTAGCCGTAAAGTTATCTTAAATTGATAACTTAATTGTGATTATGTCCTAATTTATCTTTAAGGTACAATAGCACCTTAGGAATGAATTAGACATTCTAAATTTATCGATTTGTTGCAAATATACTCTAAAAGTAAATTAATATTGACATTTGCTCATAGTTTCAAATTTGTCATCCCATACCAGTTCATTGGGCATAAAGTGATAACTAAGAAAATAAAAAAATAAAAAAAATAAGAAAATAAGAAAGGTAAAAGGAAAAGTAAGGTAGAGAAATGATTGTGTTAAAGTAAAGAGAGAGACTAACGTTAGTAAAAAAAGAAGAAAAATAATGATGTGAATTTTTAAATTTATAAGGGGATAAAACATAATCCATATATAGATTAAACATACTATATAAAATAAAATAAAAAAATTTAAAGTAAAATATTTTAAAAAATGATTATATAAGTTGCAGATTATTCATAAATAAACCAAACAAATAAGTGCATCCTTCCAATTCAAGTACAACTTAGGTTTAATTCATAATTATTCACATGTATAATTATTTATTGTACAGAATTGCTATCTATGCTTTTAATTTCAAGAGATTATTAATAAAAAAAAAATATAACATTTCCTGTGATCTGAACATATTATAAACTTCATATTAATCAGATTCAGGACGAATAAGATTAACAAGTAAAGAATTTCATCAGGATTGAGACAAAAAAACAAAAGGAAACTGCTGATATTACTGTTAATGCCTAATCACTTCACATTACTCTACAAATATATTTCTTCATCCCGAAATTATTATCCCAGAAGCAGTATATATTACAATACCCACATAACCACAGCAAAATTCAAATATCATCAAGGTTAATCTATGGTTCTGCCAGGAAAACAAACAGTTTCCCCGCGATAAAATAATGTCTCATTCAAAATTTTCCATCTGTGTACCAACAGAATGTTTACACAAAATCTAAAAATGTGTGCTGAAACCTTCTCATAACTTAATAATGTAGCCTTCCAGCGATACAGTATCAGCCTCTGCTATGCCCTTCACTTGGTCAGATATTTCATAGATGCAGCTAAATTACTCTTGAATCCTGAGAAGCTTTGGTTATGTTGGCAAATGACAGATGACAGAAGGGATAAGAAAAATCCATGCTTTCTGCTGCTCAGAAAATCTTCATCCACAAAGATACAAGCAAACTAATATTTGGTTTTTACTGGTGCGGCCGCAACTCCAACTTGTATGCTTGTATTTCCATAGGCGAGATGAATACATGCCCATCTTGAGCTACATCGTTAACCTGCTCAGAGTACCCAAGCATCTCCGTATCTTCGTGAAGAAGATTCAAAGACGTTGCTTTTGCATTCAATACTGCAAGCCCCTTGAACATGTTGAAAAGATTTATCGACTCATTTGCAAAACTAGTGCATTGTGATCTGCCTTTCCGACAATATGAAGTATCCCAATGTCGCCTTTGTAAGATTAGAACAAACTTAGAATCTTCAATCTGCAGCTGAGAATATTTTGATGGCCGGGGAACTTTAAAATTCACTATGTGCAAATCACAGGGTAATGGAGCAGCTAAAGGGGAGAAGGATCTTGCAGGTGGCTGTGTAGATAACTCTTGGGTGTTCTTCGCAACAAATGCATGTAAAGGGTAGTTCAAGTGAGCTCCAACACGATGAGAAAGGAGAGAGGGACTCAGTGGATGAGGATTGGAAACATGATTTGAAGTGGAAGAAATGTTAGACTCCACAAGGATGTGAAAGATCACATTCATTGGACGGTTATCCATCACTCCTTGCCCAAGGCCACGTCCATCATCCCTTACCAACCGGCGGTCAAGCATAATCTCTAACCATCCCTCTTTAAGGCTAGCCACGCCCAATGATTGTCTAGAATGCACAGAAAACCTCTGGCCATTGGATCCTTGCATGAATGCAAGAGATGGCATAGGATAGTAATTCCCTTGCAATGGGATCTTATTATAAGCTTCTCTGCGGCTCATCTGCAAGCCATTTAAATCAGAATAAAAGATCCTTTTATTATCAAAATCTGTCTTATATCTAACTATAATCTCCTGGTCATCAAATTCCTCGCCAAGAAGCTCAACATGATATTCTTTCTCAGAGAGAAACTCTTGTATGGTATTGCCTCCATTATAAATTCTGGTACTATGGGAAATGGGGCTTTGTTCCCATCTTGTTTTGGGATAAGAGTATACTTCCTGCATAAGTGGGCCTTCAGAGATCAGCATGTTCCCACCTGCCTCAATAATTGGCTGAGCATCACCATCAGGTTTAAAAAGGTAGGCCCCACTTCCAGGACTATTATACATAGCTATTTCCTCTTCCACGACATTCTCGTAGCCATTGTTTTGGCTAATTTTCTGCAACAAACCAAGCTTGACATCGAAAGTGAGAGTTTGATGTTGATTGTGGATTTCAGCCACATCACCTTCTAATTTAGAGCAAGCATATGGAGTGGGACATGAAAACGAATCAGACGTTGAGAAGTACTTTAATTTTGCTGGTATGGACTTTTCACATCCCACAAAACCATTAGCAATATAATATGTTTGCAACCCCATGGCAGGAACAGAAGCTTTCCAGTGAACACGATGCCTCCCAGTAAATATCTTGCTTTTATCATGCTGCAGTTCAGGAGAAACTTGGCTTGGAACACAAGTCCAGTTAGACTCCAGAACAGTAACATCTGGCCCATTGGCAATAACCATCACAACCTCTTCCCTTGTTTGCTCCGAAGGGTTAAAAAGGATAACTGACTGCCAGGTTCCTTCAGAAGCACTGATTGCTTTATGCAGTGGCTGAACATCATATTTAGATCTCACCTGCTCTGCCTCAAACTGGGATGGATTATGATCAGATTTTTCATGGCGAATACCAAGCAGTACTTCAATAGCTTTAGACATAAAAAGCTGTAAATCCTGCAAGGAAGTATGCATCCGAAGTCCATAATCACGAACAACATGATCCTTAGCAGTACCAGTCACGCCATCGTGGTGTTGAAAAAGAGCTAAATTCCTCCTGGCAGCAGTCAACTTATAAGCAAATCCTGTGGCCAACTTTTCACATTGTGCCCTCTGACAATAACCAAGTAACAAAGACATCATCATTTCAGTAGCACGAAGAGTTTGCTCTAGTACCCGATCAACAGCCTTGAAGAATGGCCTAGAAACATAATAGCCACTCCAGTAGTCTTGTTGTCTATCAGCATAAGTAAAGAAGTCTCCAGATAAAGATGGAAAACCTCCAATTTGACCAGAGCCAAGCTCTCCAGGACGTGAATAATTTATTCTATCAGCCTCCTCTCGAAGAGTTTGGAAGTAATCTTCCAAAGTACCAAATTTTGCTTCCGCATTTAACATAGGATTAGAGTTGATATAATCAAATAACATCTGGTAATTCCGAAACTGAGCCTCTGCCTCATCAACAGTGACATAACGAAAATCATCTCCAAGAGGAACAAGGAGAGTATTAGTCCGGTATAGCATTGACTTTTTCCTGTATTGATCTAGTAACTTTTGGGCCCTTTCATGCACATTGTCCTGTTTGGTCTCCACCGGGTTTTTCCCCCATGGGCACATCTCATAATAAAAGCCGTGTACCCGGGCAAAATCAAACTGACAACAAATAGCAGGCTCTGGCCCACAGGTATGAGGAACATCATAGGAATAAAAGGGCATCATGTGCACAAAAATATCAGTTGTTTCTTCAGCATCCCAGCTCTGTCGCCATACGTATTCCAAATTTTTATTCAGTGCGAGTTCCTTCTTTACTTCGTAGTGGGTCCTCTGGATAAGCATGTTCTCAAAACCCATGCGACGGAGAAGATATGCCATGGTAGCTGAGTAGCCAAATGGATCTATTGCCCAAGAATTCTTAGGAACAAAACCAATAGTTTCATTCAACCACATATTTCCCTCTGTAATCTGACAGTGAATTTCCAAAACGTTTATATCAAAAATATTTCACAAAATACAAGCCTTGGCAAAAAGAAAATCAATGGCATATTTTATGCACACACAAAACACATGAATCCCCTCAACTTGCTAACCAGCTCATGTTCAATCAAATGAATCAACTCAGTAACTGCAGAATAGGAAATACTTTTTTTTTTACCAGTAACGTCAAAGCAATATAATGAGCAATATAAAAAGAACAAAAGAAGGCCTAACACTATCAAAGGAAATTAACCGAACCCCAACAACTATTAACAGTATATCTAAATGCACTCATCAAAACCCATTGTCCACACATTACCTGTGTGCATCTTGGATGAAAACAATGGAATTTAATTCATTTGTTAACTCCCACCATAATATTAACTTATTATCAAACTGGAAACGTCACAATTGACTAGTTCTTATCATTTCAAGAGATAGGGAAGGGGGTTTTACTTTTACTCATTTGATTCTGCTTTCTTGTTAACCAAAAGAAAAAGAAAACTACATAATCAAACAGCAGTAGAAGATATAAAAGAAAGACGACACAGTGCACGAAGCATCCACATGTGTAGGCTCTAGGGGGGTTGATATATGCAGCCTTCCCCCTACTTTTTTTGTGGATAAAAATGATAAAGATCCAAAATTTTCTATTTGTCATGGTTACATATTATAAAAGTACGAGTGCAAGAATTCATCAATGCAATCACCAAAAGAGCATCCAACTTAAAGAAATATTCCACTGTATACCTGCTCAATTATGGCAAAATAATGTGAATTGGCCTGCATCAAGAAAAGAAACCAAATATTGGTTATTAAGTGAATATAAAAGTCATCTATGAATCCATAAAGAAACCCATAGGGTCCATCCACTACCACAAGAAGTTTGACCAAAAAACAAATAAAGCACCAGGTCACAAATTCAATAGTATTTGGACAGGACTTGATCAAAGATAGGCTGGGTTATGCAAATAATGAGTTCAATTGCGTACCTCATCGTTCATTACCCATCCACCTCCAACAATTTCTATCTGGCCATTCTTCACTAAATTGGTAAAAGATTCTCTTTTGTCATCTGTTGCATCTCTCCACCATTTCTCGAGGTAAGACATTTCTTCCCATATGAATTTCCGCCGAACATCCTACAAATCCAAGTTCAAGCAATCCTTATCTTTATATTAGCTTGATTCAAGCTTCCAAAATTTACGCAAAACAAGCTCATCTGAAATGTGTGTTATTTTACCAAAAAAAAGAACTGTAAAGATAAAATTGAAGTGTGAACAGAAAAAACATTCAGAGACTTATGCCCTTTAGATTATAAAAAGTTCATATATTTGCAGAAATCAGGCAATGATAGGAGCTCGTTAACTTTCATTACTTCAATCTTGTTTTTGTATCAGAAATTGATGTGACAAAATGGATTATGCAGTTTAACGTGACAGAATATTTGTGCTGGTTTGGAAAGGGCTGTATCGGCAGCATTGAGAGAACAAGACATATCTTTGGAGTTAGAATGATGAAAGAAACTGAGTTAAGAACCTGAAAGATGTTGGGAATCTATACGAAGCAGAGGTTTGGAGGGTGGAAGGAGTCTGCTTAAACAATTAAAAAAGAGTTAGAAAAAGCTCGGAAGCAATAGTGCTCATTGTTGATTTAAATCAAATTATGTCAGTGATGAAATGATGCAGGGGAATGTAAGATCAGTCAACGGATTTGACTTTTGAGGAGTTATCATTCCCCAGCCAAATTTGGAAATACCAATTTGGATTCACATATTAAGCATGTCTTGACGCGTAAACCCAAGACTACTTGTCTATTACATAAGAGAGTCATGTCATGAATTCATCTCAAATAATGTCATACACCATATCCAACATAGTAAGAACATGACATACCAGTACATATTGCAGCTCCTAATGCAAAAGTCAACAACAGAGTTTTAAAGTCATAAATCCAGTACACACAAAGTAAGCAGGGTAAACAAAATGAAAGAAAGTCCTGAAAAGCTGAGAGCATTTGACTTCAGAAGGTGCAGGATCCATGGGGAAAATAAACAAGAAAAGCATAATAGCGCAGAGAAGCACAAGCGATAAAATATCAAGCTCAAGAATCAGAAAGTTGGCAGAATCCTACAAAGAAGATTGAAGGATGCTGCAGAAAGAAAGAGCAGTTTCATAACATATTAACAATAAGAGCTGCCCGGCTGAAAGCAGATGACGAAGCATTGTATCTCTTTACCCAACGGCAAATAATTAAGCATCAATGGTAAAGTTCACGAGCTAAAAGGAAGGCTGGACAAGAAAATGGAAGTCCAGGCAGTAACTTTGGACTACTTCAAAATCTTTACAAAATCAGAAATCCCACTAAAATCTAAATGGCTTTTGAGGCAGGAGCTGAATGATACCATTAAAAGCATAAAGAATGTGGAAAAGCAGGTAGTCCGACTCCAGAGCCAAATAGTTCCCGTCAACTTTTATCCCTTTTCCAAAACAATTAATTGGACATCGTAGGCTAGCATGTTGCGTGCTATTAAATCTTTCGTACATAATATTCAGATGTTTGTGTGCAAATTTTGGCGGTGAACTTGTAATGGAATCAAACATGGCAGAGTTTTTGGAACAACAGAGGTAAGATTCTCACCAGAAGATAACGCGGTGAAAAATGAAGCAAGTGAAGGCTGTTGAACTCTTGGTCAACTATTAAAAAATACAATTCAATAACGGATAGCATTAGTCTCTCCAATCAAGAATTGGATAACATTGCTCAGAGTTAGAAAAATTAGTATAACCCTAGAATTGACTTTTGAAGACAATGTTATAACGTTTTTAGGATGGAAACTGCTTGTGTGAGAGAGACTAGAACTAAAGAAGCCTATACTAAAAGCATCTGGGCTGAGTTGTGAGCATAAAGTAATTTTTTTATATATTTGTCCAAATTGCTTGGAACCAAGCATTGGTGTGGGGATGATTTTGCAATCTACCTGGTTTGTGATGTTAACAAAATAATTTGCTATCTTGTTTAAAAATAAAAATAACGATTTAAAGAAAAACGGAAGAAAAGTTCATTAGATTAGCAAAATAAAGAATATCAAAAAAATTAAAAATTGAAGTTATATATATATATATATCACAGGCATGAAACATATACGAATGCAATATTCCATTTTTGTGAACCGAACATCAAATCCATAATTACATACAGCTATCAGTTGCACCGTTATCATCCACCAATAAGTTACATCTAAAAACCATCATAATCCCAATTCAAAAAAAATCAAACTAAAGCTAGTATCCGGAATCCAAGTCTCCAACTAATATAGTAATTTAATCATGATTCAGAAAATAATAATAATAATAATAATAACCCATATAAATTAAGAAGCAGAATCAACCAAGCAACTCATTTATAATTGAAGTATTACCTTAGAAAGTGTCTCCACAATTGTATCAAGTATGTGCCTTGATTGCCTCTCATAATACTCATCCACAGTAAGCTTCCAACCAGGATCATTATGAGAATGAGGCACTACAAACACCTTCAACTTCTCACTATCCCACTCATCCCCTAAATAACTAACTCTCCATCCTTGCTTCCATGGCCCACCATCGATATCCAAGAACTCGATCTTATCATACAAATCCTTGGTCGTTATATCCACAACAGCTCCCAAAACGTCACCGTTGTTAGTACTTTTATCAATTTGAGGCTTCCGAGGGATCGTCTTCCGAAACTTAGTAACACGAAAACTAGGTCTTGATTTGAAAGGAGAGGAAAGAGGTTTTGGGATACCAAAATGAAGAATTGTGAAGAAAAGGAAGAGAAGGGAAATTGAAAGTGCTATAGCAAAGAAGTTGGTGAAGAGGAAGTTAGCCAGAGCCGTACGTCTTCGTAATTTTCTTGATGGAAGCTTTGATTTGCCAGTGGTGGTGGATGCGGTGGTGAAAGGGAGGAGTGAGTGGGCCCAGCTGGTGCCGGCTCCTCCTCCACGGCGAGTGTTGCTCCCAATGTACGAAGAGAACGACATGTTTCCGTTTTCTGTATATTTTTTAATCAGTCTTTTTGGGTATATATGAGATATGACATATGAACACGGAAGGGAGCAAAGATCTATGTAAGTATAACAAATGGAAAATAAAGTGAAAAAAAAAAAAAAAGAAAAGAAAATGAAGGTCAAGACTTTTTAATTTTAATTTTATTTTTTATATATGTTTTGATTTTGATGGTTGGAGTCTTCTTTATTCCAAGTCAAGCGAGGAATTTTATTGGACGAGTTCACTCTAGCCTATAGAATTTCAAGCATTTATAATTTTGTGGAGAGTTCGGGTCCATTATTCTTTTGATTTTTGGGATTTCAATAAAGAAAAATTGTTAATTTTGACTTTAAAGAAGATGATTAAGAAGTATGGAAAAAAATACATGTAACACATAATTTCACTTTTACACTTATGTATACGAATGATCACAGTTTCATAACTGTCGATTTCGATTGTAAAACGGTCGATTTTAATTATAAAAAATGTGAAATTAGAATCAAATTGTTTTTAGACAGTTTATAATGTTAGAATCGAAATTATATAATTTATCTTAAGCTTTTTAAAATTCTTTTTCAAAATTGAAACTTGAATAAATAATAATAATAATAAACATTACTATTAAAAATAAAAATAATAAAATCAATTTACTAAACAAAATATGAGGAAGCATAAGATAAACTTATAAATTTGAAAGAGTAATATATCCAAACAAAAAAATAATGCGAACACCGCTAACAGATGAATATAAAAACAAAATAAACAAAGCTATAATATGACAGCGCAAGGAACTGTATAAATTTAAGGATATGTAATTAAATGTTTATTATTTGTTAATCATATGATTTTATCGATTATTCGAGCATGGTTGGATAGTCTTCACATATTAGGTATAATACCAAAGTTCAAATGCACAGAGGAATTTATATATTGGACCGCAAATTCACTATCTAAGCCTATATGAATTTCAAGCATTTAATATATTTTGTGGAAGAGTTTCGGGTCATTAATTCTTTGATTTTTGGGATTTCCAAATAAAGAAAATTTGTTTAATTTTTCTCGAACTCTTTTAATTAAATTGAAATTATAGGTGATATTTACTGAAAGTAAAGGCACAACGTTCGCTTTGGCAGCTGAGACTACGTATAGAAAAAGGTACATTACAATGCTGAACACAGTAATTCAAAACCCCAATCTACTTTATACACATTAATCGTACTACAAAAGCACTCAACATAATGCTTCAATCTAATAGTAGAAGTTATCCGATTTAGTTATAACGGTCGAGACTGCTGTATTTATAAAAAAAATATTCGTGAGACATTACGAGAACAATCAAAATTGTTTATATTATAAGACAAGCTCATTTATACAAAATGTTAATTAGACCGAGTCAAAGAGACAACTTCAGAATTATAAAAAAATAAATAACATACAGAAAAATAAATTATTCGTTCCAATGTCATTGTTTTCTTCACCACAATTGAGAAACATGAGAATCCCCAGTATACTAACTCATATAATTATTATCATTACTATCTTACAAGATCACAACTAATAAATCATAAATAATCGTAATTCCTCTAATCTAAATCTTTAAGCTCTAACAAATATTATTGTTAAATTATATAGTATTATAATCTCACAACCATTACAAACTCCTAAGGAGATGGTGATAATTATATAAAAAAAAGTATAGTTGAATATTATGAGTTTATCTAAAAATGAAGAGGTAGGTCCGAAAGCCAACAATATATAGATTTATTACTTCTCACACTTTATAAAAGGGTTGGATACATATACATTTTTATTAAATAGATTTTTGATCATAAAGGCGCAAAAACAAAACACACACTAAACAAAATAAAATTGAAAATACGCAAATATATTCAATTTTTTTTATACAACATATTACAATTATTGAGAATCGTTTTATAAATTTTTGTATTTATCCCCAATAAAATTTAGATCATCCTCAAACAAACGAATGTTAGAATTCTAACTCTATTTTTTTCAGAGTTTGCTAATTTTATTTATTCTAGATTTTGGTCCATAACTAATCGTTAAGATTGAATCATCACTTCTTAGTTTTTCGCGACTTTTTAAAATTTATTTTAAAAAATTATAATTAAAAAAATAAATTAAGAGTTTTTTAAAAAATATTTTATATTTTTTTAATAAATATCGAATAAAAATAAAGATCTTACCTCCCTTATAAAAGGGTTGGATACATATATTTTTTTAAGATTTTTGTCAAAGCGAAAACAAACCCTAAACAAATAAATTGAATAGAATATTCAATTTTTTTATACAACATTTACATTATTGAGATTTGTCTTTATCACATTTTTGTATTTTCCCAATAAAATTAGATCATTCAAAAAGAAATTTAGAATTTAACTCTTTTTTTCGTTTCTATTATTTATTTGGATTTGGTCATAACTAATGTAAGATTGATCATCCTTCTTAGTTTGGGGGGCCTGTTTTCCCATCTAAGGAGCTTTTAGGTACCGTCCTTGCACAATCTGTAGCTGTAGAAGAGAGATGGCCTTTTCCACCAGGGATAAATAGCCTCCGGTTACGAAGTTTAGGACTCCATAAGGCATCTAGTGGTGTTGAACCTTGTAATAAGCCTCTCATTCATCCAATTCAAAATAGCTAAATATGCATATTCATGAATTGCTTATATTTTATATACTGCTATTTACAGTAAATGAAGAAAATATAATCTGTCTTCTTGGTTTTGATCCGAAGGAGCTAATGAGAGAACATGATGAGTAATAATGGAAATTGAAGAAAAGTTGCTATTAAAATTTGAACTATATTATTATTGTCTAATGAAATTACTACTCATTTTAAAACTATAAAAATTATATTAGAAATCCGGCAAAAATCTCATCTAAAAACTGGATTTAACCTCGTATTTAAACATTGTAAAATTATAGATAAAAATTGTATTTCTTGAGTTATTTTTTTACGATATTTGTGTTTGACGATAACTAATTATTAGTTCATTGTATTAATATACTTATTCTGATATTTATGGTAAGTGAAAGATATTCAAATGCTTGAATTCATAAATTCACTTATACACTTTGTTATTTTAATCTTATAGTACCCTCAACTTTTATTTTTATCCATCAAACGCTTCAACGTATAAAATTACATCTATACACTTTATTTTGCATATTTAATATTTTAACTTGCAAAATCAGATCAATTAAACATCTATTAGATAGTTGAAACATATAAAAATTATTGTTTTAAAAGTTATACTAAATATAAATTAACTTAATATCTTATGTATAAAAGCAAAAACCTTAAAATTTTGTTGTTAGTATAGAAATGCGTATAATATTACTAAAATTTATAATTTTAAGAGTATAATAAATCTCCCTTAAAATTAAAAGTGTCATAAGGTTAAAGTAACAAAATTTCTGCATATGTTCATATTTAAAATATGGTTATATTTGGTAAGCAATAATAAAATAAAATATAATGTAAACAAATACATTTCTAATATAGAATTACACTGAAAGGCTATGTTTAGCACACAAAACATTGTTCTGAAAATTGGACCAAACCAGCCGGTTCAATTGCGAACCAGATTATGGTTCTATCTGGATTGCATAAGAAAATCGAATGTCTAAAAAATCAACGTAAATTGAATGAAAATCGGTTAAAAACCAGTGAACCGAATTGGTTCAATTTAATTTCTGGGTATTTTCATAAAATGTGGAACTTTTTTTAAAATTTGGGCTTTTTAAAAATTGGGCACTCATTTCTTTAATTTTCAGGCCTTTTTAAACCCAAAGTCCTATTATGTTAATTAAAATAACTAAATTGTCTATCTTTAAAGCCACATATGAAAATTAATAATATATTTTATAGTAATTAATTAATTTTTTATTTACTAATTATTTATTTTTTTGTAAAATTCAAATTTGAAACTGTTTTTTATTTGAGATCAAAGTTTTTTTATAACCTATATTTTCAATTTTATTTAATAACTATATTTAAAAGTATTATATATAAAAAATTTGGTTGGACCATATTGAATTCGGTCGAATTTCTAGTCAATACTGACCAATCCAGTTCTTAGACACCTGTACAGAATGGAATGAAAATGTAACCTGTTACCCATTTTCTTGTTTAGTAGCAAATAAAGCTGTAAATTGGAATTGAAATATATTCCATGGTGCAAACACAGTAATAAGAATTATATTACATATTCAATTTCTTACTTCGTAAATACAATAATATTTTCTATTACATTTCATTATAATTACCAAATATAGCATAAGGATAATATTATATATTTTTTCTCATTATTTATTTAAACACAATTATCATATTTTATTGAAATCTTTTTATTTTCACTTAACCAATATATTTCAATATTCTTATAATTACTTTTATGGAAATCTACTTTTTTGGGAAGGTAATTTCCTAAAAAAATGTTAAATTTTGGTAACCAAAAGTCTCTTTAGATATAAATATTTTTATTTTAAAGTTCAAGAAGCCAATTTCTATTAAGCCCTTTCGACAACAACTTTTTAAATTAATTTTTAACATTTTGATAAAATAAAAAATCTACCTATAATAATTATAGCGTTCAATCAGAGCTTTTATGAAACATTACATATTATAATATTTAGTTTTTAACGTTTAACTTTTAATTAAATTTCTTTGATAATCATACCCATTATTGTTTCATCCAAATTCAGCTAATTAAATAACTAATGCATTTTTTGTCATTTTAAGTTAAACAACTATTTTTAACGACCGTTATAATTTAAACCGCTATACAACAGCTACCAGCTAAAAATTAATAGTTAACAATTAATAAAACAACTAGCAACTACTATCGGCTTCTTCAATAATACTAGTTATTATATGAGTTATTATATCAGTTGTTAGTTGTTCTGGCTATTAGCTATTTGTTATTTATGTAGTGGTTTAAAGCAAAAATGATTGATAAAAATAGATGTTTGATTACCTCTTATGATTAAAATGATAAAAAATGATATTTGAACGTTGACTTAAAATTTTAAATTATGGCGGTAGAATTAAAGTGAACTCATTGATAAAAAAATATGATATACTATATAGTTACGAGTGTTTTTTTTTCCTTTTATAAATTATATGAGTTATTATATCAGTTGTTAGTCATTGATAAAAAAAGTATGATATACCTATATAGATTTACGAGTTGGTTTTTTCCTTTTTATAAATTTATAAATGAGTTACTGGTATTTCATCAGTTGTCTTAGTTTGCTTCCTGGCTATTTATGGCTATGTTAGTCATTATCATGTAAATGGTTTAAAAGCAAAAATATGATTAGACTTAAAAATTAGATCCGTTTCTGGATTACCTCTTATATTAAAACCTGATTAAAAACCAATGATATCTGAAAACGTTTTGACTTAAAATTTTAGAATGGCCGTGCTCGTATGGCGTACGAATTAAACGGTGAACTCACTTGATAAAAAAAAATATGAACTTTACTATTTCATAGGTTCACTGGAGAAACTGTTTCTTTGTTTCCTTTTATGAAGATTTTATACTGCAGTCAGTGCTGATATCAGTTTGTTTAGTGAGTTCTGGCTGTAATTAGCTATTTAGTTATTTTACTGTAGTGGTGTTAAAGCCAAAAAAATGATGTGATATCCAAAATAGATTGTTTGATTTACCTTTTATAACTTAAAATTGGCCATCAAAAAATGATATTGAAATGCTTGATTTTAAATTTGTGTAAACTGAAGCTTTGGGAGGGTAGAACTAAAGTGAAGGCTCATTGATAAAAAATATGATAGACTACTATAGTTACGAGTTTTTTTTATTCCTTTTATATAGAATTATTATCAGTATTTTTGGTTTTTTATTTGTTTTTTCATAATAAGAAGATTATTCTTATAAAACTGAAATGAAAATGTGAGAAAAAAAAAGATCTATTTTTTTTTTTGTTAGATTTTTATACTTTTAATTTTGAGGCACCGATACTTTTATCATTGTTTTAAGGGAAGGATAAAAAAAGTGACAAAAAAATAAAATAATATAACATGACGATTTTTTTTTGAAAATTTTGAAAAAGGAAAAATTCAAACTAAAATAATAAAAGTACCAAACTTCCAAAGGGAGGAACATAATAGCAACAAAATAGGCAATAATCTAAATTTGAAGTCTCACAATGATAAAAAATGATATTGAAACGTTGACTTAAAATTTTAAATTATGGCGGTAGAATTAAAGTGAACTCATTGATAAAAAAATATGATATACTATATAGTTACGAGTGTTTTTTTTTCCTTTTATAAATTATATGAGTTATTATATCAGTTGTTAGTTGTTCTGGCTATTAGCTATTAGTTATTTATGTAGTGGTTTAAAGCAAAAATGATTGATAAAAATAGATGTTTGATTACCTTTTATAATTAAAATGATAAAAAATGATATTGAAACGTTGATTTAAAATTTTAAATTATGGCGGTAGAACTAAAGTGAACTCATTGATAAAAAAATATGATATACTATATAGTTACGAGTTTTTTTTTCCTTTTATAAATTATTATCATATTTTTTGTTTTTATTTGTTTTTTCATAATAAAAGATTATTTCTTATAAAACTGAAATGAAAATGTGAGAAAAAAAAATCTATTTTTTGTAATTTTTATTTAATTTTGAGCACATACTTTTATCATTGTTTTAAGACAATAAAAAATGACAAAATAAAATAATTAACATGACATTTTTTTGAAATTTGAAAAAGAAAAATCAAATAAATAATAAAAGTACCAAACTCAAAGGAGAATAATAGCAAATAGAATATCTAAATTTTAAGCCACAATGGACGAGAGTGTTAAAAGGTAAAATGTAACCCCCTAAATGCTAGGAGATTAAACATTTGATGGAATGATTCATTGTCCTAACTTTTGAACAAAATACTAAAAGCTCCTAAAAATATTGTTGCTATATAACTGTTAACGGCTATTACAACTGCTAATTAAAATAACTAATATTACCGAATATATTTTAAATTCAAATAAAAAAAATTTAAATTCAAAAATATCTTAGAAAAATATCAAAAAATGTTTGAAAAGCTATAAAAATTAGACATATTATATATTCCTTTTCCCATTCTATTCCTTTTTCTTCTTTATTTTTACTTTATTTTAATGTTTTATATTTACCTTTTTAATATTTATTTTTTAAATTCATTAGTATTAGAAGTGGTAAAATTATTGAATTAAAGTTGTTTTATCATTATTAGATTAATTAGTTTGTTAATGCAAGAGGAAAGTACTGAAATGAACTAAAATGTTAACAATGCCCCGGATTAAACTGCTTTATATAGTTAATTAAACAAGGGTAAATCCGTCATTCCATAGTAACCGCGCTTCAGATCTCATTTTGAATTCCCGCGATCCAAAACCAAAACTCGGAGACAAAACAGATCCGAATCCGCTTTTGAATTTGCAAACCCGCCATTGAATCACACACTCCCTCCCCTTTTTTAACGGTCTCTCCTTCTCTCCGCCCGAAGGAAAAACTAAGGAAAGCAGATTTGTTTGCTTCTTGCAGCTGGTTTGAGGGGAAATGTCCTCGTTTGTTTCTCGAGAATCTGATCCAAGTGGGAGACAATTTTATTGCCGCAAAGAGAAATCTTTAGGAGTTTTGTGCACCAAGTAGCTACCTTTATTTTCTCTATCTTTTTCGGATGTTAGTTTTTGTTAAAGATTAGTGCTTTGATTGTTTTAATCGGGGATCTTTTTCTGGTTAGTTTCTTGACATTATATAATAAGGATGGTGTTGACTCGATTGGACTAGATGATGCTGCTGCCAGATTAGGTATCTTTTCCGATTTTGTTACTATTCGTTTGCTCTATTTTTTTTTTCTTTTTGGAAAAATTTGCCTTCGTTTGGTCGTTTGGTTGCTGAGAAAATGGAAATAAAAAAAAAAGGTAAAATTGATATTTTGGCTTTAATTAAACTCAACTAGGTCAAGCTAAAAAGTTGCAGCCTTACTGAGTGAGACTAGGCTTTTGAATTTTTTGAATCATAATTATGGTTTTTCGTTTTTTTGAGAGTACATGATTCTAATTGGTTTCTTTCTGGCCATTTTCTCAGCAGCCAAACTAGTTTAATTAGAGTTTTTGACTTCAATTATTTGAAACAATTTGCATTTGCAGGAGTTGAAAGGCGCCGCATTTACGACGTGGTCAATATATTGGAGAGTGTTGGGGTGAGATTCTTAATAGATTTTGTTTATAGCCTTATGTTTTTGGTTATGTTTTTATGAATTATGCCATAGATTGTGGAGATTATACAGATTTAGGTTTAAAAAAAGGTGTATGGATTATATATAGGTGGTAGCAAGAAAACAGAAGAATCAATACTCGTGGAAAGGTTTCGAAGCAATTCCCCGTGCTCTGGAGGATCTCAAGGTACATGATAATATTATTTTGGCGTTACACTAGGGAATTTGTGTTGAAAGCATGATATAATATGATTTCTTTTTACAGGAAGAGGGTTTTAGGGAAAATTTTACTGTTTTCGGCTCCTGCAGCTCAGAAAAGGTATAACAGACTCCTAACTTATTCTTCATGCATTCAATTCCAAAGTGAAGTGATGAATTTGGAGACGTACTGGTTTTACATGGTGTTACTTTAGGTTGCTTACATACGAGTACAGTGATCTTAGTAGGTTGCGGGATGCACCAAGTTCTAAGTTAATCCCAGAAAAAAGAAGATTCTTGTCATAGATCTAGCACCGGACTTGGATGAGGTGGTGCTAGTGATGTTTCAACTTTGGTATTCAGTTTAGTTGGCAGTCTTTTAGATTTTGGATTTACTGGATAACTACTTATCTTATTGGCAGTAGAATCATTTCGCATTACGGCTAGGGCTACAAATTCCGCTATTTGAATTTTAATGGATCTTTAAACTAATTTGATGGTATGTTTCAAAAATGATATATGGATCCACTTTATACCTTTTATTACTTGAAAATGAACCTTGCAGTTCATCTTTTTCGTGCAATAAGCAAAACAGCTGTATAATCAATGTTTTCATATTCTTTTCTCGCTAAGTTCTTCTCTACAACACACCAATTTTACGAAGAATCTGTAGGTCAGTTCTGGTTACTTAAGTTCTTCTAATGTTTTAAACTAGGTTGCCAATGAGAATGAAAATGAAGAATCTTCTAGTTCAAGAACTGACGGGCAAGATAATTCTTCAGCAACATCAAAATCTGGTAATTAACCTCTTGCTCTGTTGTGTCATTTGATTCTCAAAGTAATTTCTGAGCCACATCATTCTCTTTGTGGTTAACAACTGTATTATTCCAGCTTCATCTGATATCTGAACAGCCAAAGCTTTTACCCATTTTGAGTGCTCACATAAACCTAATTGATGGTGGTGTTTGTTTATGCAGAGAACAAAAGAGAGAAATCACTATGGCTTCTCACACAGAATTTTGTCAAGCTTTTCCTTTGTACAGATGTCAGTGCAATTTTTTTTTATTATTTATTTATTTATTTTTGTGAAGTAGTTCTACTGTTTTGGACTGGTTTATGGTTTTTCTTGTCCTTCCTTTTCTTTTTTTGGTGAAATATGTTATTACTTCTCTACAGGTAGAAATGATCACACTTGATAATGCTGCAATGTCATTGCTAGGCAATGCTCACAATTCGACAGCTATGCGAAGTATGATCTCGAATTATCACTGTTTTGCTAAATATAGATAAGAGTGAACGAGAATGACTGACTCTTTCACCACATTATTCTGCAGCAAAAGTTAGAAGATTGTATGATATAGCAAATGTTTTTTCTTCTATGAATCTGATTGAGAAGGTATGCATTATACCATCAAAACCACTTCTTAATGGAACAGAAAAGAAAGCCTGGACAAAAATGTCATGTATGGTTTCCCTTGATTAATTCTAAACTTTCAACATTGGTTGCTTGATTTGCAGACACATCACCCAGATAGCAGGAAACCAGCCTTTAGGTGGTTGGGCTGGACAGGAAACAATGGATCCGTGAGTTTGGATAAGAAAGAGCCAAGGAAAAGGACTTTTGGTACTGAGATTACAAACTACATTACAAAGCGAAACAAAGTGGATTCTTTGATTGATTGGGACTCAAATCCAAAGAAGGAAAATGTTCCAGTGATTATTAGATGCAACAGTTTGGAAAATGATTGCAATGAGAACAAATTGAAGCTGCATACAAAACACAGCTCGAAGAGTTTTGAATTTGGCCCTTTTACTCCTGTAGATACTTCTATAACAAGTGATTCTGGAAAAAAAATCGCGAGTCGTATTCAGGACATGGAGAGCCTCACTTCTACTTATTATCCTCAATATCATAATCGAGGTATCATTCTAGATTTCATTACAAAACTTCTTTTCCACTTTCCAGGTTATGCCTAGTTAATTAGGAATGCCAACTTCAGTAACATTTTGTGAAAGTTGGTTAACTAATAGTTCGCATACCTTGTTCCCATTTCTCGGTTAGCTGCATTGTTTTTTTCATGCCTTATTATGCCTCATAATACTTGTGTTAATTTAAGACCATTTTTGCAGGAAATCATTCTAAACCTTAAGCAATCTTGTCTCATCGTCTCCCCATTAGAAATTGTCTCTTTCCTACAGGACCACACATTTTCCCAAAAATCAATTTATCTGATTTTTTTAATAATATATCAGTACATTGTTTGTGCAAAGACAGTGCTATGCACACTAGAATCCTACTAATCTGTTTTGCCTAGAAATTGCAAACCTCTCTTGTTTTATTTCAGCTTTTAACAAACCAATTTTGGTTTTTGGAGATATTCTCTGTTGCCTCTGATATGTGTAAACACTAACATTGATGTCATTTAAACATTCATACATACTGCCTAAGACTATTGCACCAAACTAATATAGAATTTATTTTGTCAATGATTCGGCAGCTCTTAGCGATCTTTTTGGCCATTATATGGAAGCTTGGAAATCGTGGTATGTTGAAGTTGCTGGGAAAGAGAAGACAACGAAAGGATCCTGATGCCCTTATCCATGGTTTTTACTCCAGATGACCTTGTGCACAAAATCAAAACGTCAGTACATCTTCTTTTGTTTTCATTTTTTTTTCCGATTCTTTAGTTATAGAGGTTTTTAGGGCTTTTTTTGTTGGATGCATTATCTTGATGCACCAACTGGATTAGGTAGTCTTCCATATTAACCCTCTGATTATGAATTTGGAAACAAGAACGTGAAATAAATTCTTATATGAGAAGGGTGATTGGCTGACTTGTTTCCATACATAACTACACGTTATAAGAAAATTATCATCATTTCTTTCCGTCTGTGTGTTCCTGTAAAATTTCCAGGCAATTCCCAGCAAGCAATAATTATTTCATTGAGACTCTACCCATGCAGTTTTAGTTTGTCAATAGATTTATATATCTAGAACCCTAACAGGGACTAATATAATGCTTCAGAGTTCAGACATTTGTCAGGTTCAATCAAACCTCACATTTTTCTGCAAAAGGAACTATCCTTTTGATGCAGAGAGAGAGTATCATCAGAATTCTCCAAATTGGAACCCAATTATAGGCTGAAATAAATGCAGGAGTCCCATCAACTGTGGACCTAATCTCCATGGTTAACCTGTGAAGGTCAGTTCTAAGTCTATAACACCACTAGTGTCTAGATTCTGTTTCTTATCCTGATTGATTCTCCTAGTATAAAAGACCAAAACTGTATTTTGAGTTCCCCAATTTCAGGGTCCTACCAAGCCTGCAATATATATATATATATATACACACACACAGAGCATTGTTATCAGAGATGTTGATGTTTTTAATCTGGATTTTGACAATCAAAATTTTTTTATAAGGTTCAGCTTTTTTGACCTATAATTTTCTTTTTTATATACATTAAGTCTTGCAAATTCAGCCCGCAAACAACCAAGTAGGGCGGGCACAGTTCAGTCAAATTGAATTGAATCAATTGGTTTGTTTTTAAAATAATTAGGTTTGGTTTAGATTTCTATAGAAAAAATTGAAATAAAAAATTCAGTTCAGTTCCTAAAATTTTAAAAAACCTAAATACTTTTTAAAAAGAATAAATTGAATCAAAGCATTTTGATTTGATTCTATATGGAAATTTTATTTTGATCTCCTTGTTTCAAATTTTTTCATTTATTTAGTTTAGGTTAATTCAATTTAGCTTGGATTAAAGCATCTAGAAATTTATATTTGGTAAGTCTTAATGGAATATAATATAATATAATTCTAAATATTTATAGTATAATTTTATATTGAGAATGTCTTTAATTAAATTAGATTACGTTCTATTATGATTTAGGAAATATAGTTTAAGAGATATCTATAGTTCTGTCAAGGTATTAAACATTAGTTTTCTTGAAAAAATAAATAAATAAAAGAGATGTTTATACTATTGAGGTACGGTAGGAATTAAGGATGAAATAAAAAATAAAAATCAGAATTTATGTGGCGATACTATATTTGGACCCACATACATTCACTGTTTGGTAGTTGGTCCACTTCAGATTCCTTCTATGAAAACGTACCCACCATTGATAACTGTTTTTCTTTTTCTATTATCCTTTTTGCTTATTTTATTTTTTGATTATTATGCCTAAAGCAACCTTGTTGGTCGCTGTTTTTTAATTTTCAGTTTTTCTTTTTTTATCTAGTTTTCATTCCATTTGTTTTTCTCCCTCAGATTTTTTAAAATAATGTTATACATAATTATCTATCAAGTTAAAAAGATTTAAGGATTATTATTATTTAATTTTTTTAATTGTACCTTTATCTCTACCGAACACAATAGTTGTTTTATATAATTTTTTAAAATTTATTAACATTTTTCAGGTTTGACTAAATTAATAATATTAATTTTGCATTTAAGTATCAACAATGAGTTATTTGATAACAATAATTATTAGTTATGTGGAATTCGCATTATGTGGAAGCCAAGTGCAAATCTGCATTATATAAAAATTAAGTATAAACCTCTGAAATTACTAAATATGAAGAGGACAATAATTATTTAGTACGGTTATAAGAAGATAAGGTGTAATGATAATAATTATAAAAAAATAAATTATTTTATATTTTTAAATAATGTATTTATTATGATAATATTTATTAGTTACATCTCATCAAGATAACGTATTAAATTAAATTAAAATTTAATTAAAATATAAATAATCAAGCCATAAAATAGGAAATATTTAATTTATACTAGTAGTTAGGTTGCACGGACACATGACATGAGATACGAAATCGTACGAAATATATGATAATAAATAAATAATCATTTATAATAAATAAAAAATAAAAAAAATTAATTTTTTATTTTAATATAATTTTAGTTATTGTGGAGCATGTTCGCATTATGGTAGGAAGCCAATGCTCGGCAAATCATGGCGATTATATAAAAATTAAGTATAAACCTCTGAAATATTACTAAATATGAACGAGCGACAATAAATTATTTAGCTACAGCGTATTATTTAAGCAATGATAAGGTCGTCACATGATGAATAATTATAAAAAAATAAATTATTTCCTATATTTTTACAATAATGTTATTATGTATGATAATTATTTATTAGTTTACATCTCCATCAAGACTTAACGTATTAAATTAAAATTTTAAAATTTAATTAATAATATAGAATAAATTCAAGCCATAATATGGTAAATATTTAATTTTATAACTACAGCTAGTATGCATCTTGCCCTACGGACACCATGACAATGACGATACGAAAATCGTATACGACAATATATGATAATAATATAGCACATAACTCATTTTCATAATAAAATAGACAAAATAAAAAAATTAATTTTTCATACCCTTAAGTATTAATAGTTAAATTTTTTTTTATTTTAATATAATTAGTTTAAATTTAAATTTAAATTAAAATATATATAACTCAAACTATAAAATAAAAAATAATTAATTTCTTATTTTAATGATTACCTTGATGTATGGGGTACTCTTATATATCAGAAGTTAGGTTCTAAAGACACAAAATACAGGAACGTACGATATATGATAATAAATAAATAATAATTTATAATAAATAATAAACAAAAAATTAAAAAAAAAACTAATTTCTTATTTTAATATAATTAGTTAAATTCTCAAAATTATTATCACTGTTGAAAATTTTATATCTATCTATATCTACTATATATAATATAGAAAAGCAAGTAGTTTGCTTTATATGAAAGCCAAATGTAATTAGCACAGTTTGCTACTTGACATTATTTTAGATTATAGAATGACGAATATTAGAATTCACACAATTTAACACAATCGTACGAATTGTAAAAAGATCGGTTATTTTATATTTTCAGATAATCTCTCTGATCATCTCCTCCTCATATTTTCAGATAATCTCTCCTTGATCAACAAATCAACTCACTACTATTACCTCTATTATACCTACTAAGTATTTATATATAAACAAGATTTATCTCGCATCATATTAACTTTCGAAATATATTAATATAAATTTTATTTCTTTTAATAATAAACAATTAAAAGTAATCGAACTATGCCTTTAAAAAAGGGAGCCCGTGGAATATAATAAGCGGTATCATTACTATTAAATAAAAAATATATAACCACAATCATAAAAATATAAATAAAAGATCGGAAGGATAATGTATTTTTAAGAAAAATATCGACATCAGCCATGCTTAGGAGACATACTCACTTACTAATTTCCAAATTAAGAACCTCAAGTATATTAACTATTGCTCAGAATAAATAGAACAACACTAGTTACTTATTACATAATTTATAAACATAAAAAAAAGTTTCGATCTCGCTCCACTGACTCTAGTAACTCGAATGACCACCAAAAATATTTAAAAATACTTATTGTTTATCACTTGGGCTAATAAAAATCTCGGCAATTGATAATTACTTGGTGTATTAGAGTTAGCTGAACCTCATATATTCAAGAGCCTGTTACTTATCAGCCTTACAAGGAAACAATGACACGAGCATTATGGAACGATACGGTGATACTGATAATTTTTAAGAAACTGTAGCGAGACATTTGCATTCTGGCATTACCAATACACTAAAAATACAAATGAACATACGGGATACGATAATTTTTAAAAAATGTAGGACATTCATTTGCTTACAATACACTAAAATAAATAAGTAATACATTAATATTTCAAATAAATAAACAATCATTTATAATAAACATAAAATAAAAAACAGTAAATTTCTTATTTCAGTGACACAAGCAAATTAAAAAATAAACACTTTATTTTGTTGGTAATAAGAAAAATCTTAATTGATTAGTTTGGTGCATGGAGTTGTTTCATATACCAGGAGTTAAGTTACACAAATACACAATACGAGATATAAGAACGTACGAAATATGATAATTTTTAAAAAATGTAGCACATCCACATGCTTAGGACACAATACACTAAATAAGCAATATATTAATATTCAAATAAATACACAATCATTTATAACAAATTATAAACCCAAAATAAAAATAAAACTTAATTTCTTATTTCAATGGCACAAAAATAAATTAAAAAAACACTTCCTTTTTTATTGATAATAAAAAAACCTTGGTTGATTAGCTTAGAAAAAAACCTTGGTTGATTAGCCCTTAGTGTATAGAGTAGTTCATATTACTAGGAGCTAGTTGTGCGATTGAAAACGGGAAGCGATAATTTTTTGAAAATGTAGGAACCATCACACGCTTAAAGCATAGTGATATTTAAATAAGCAATACATTAATATTTCAAATAAATAAAACAATAAGCAATACATTAATATTTCAAATAAATAAACAATCATTTATAATAAATCATAAATAAAAAATAAAAAATACTTAATTTCTTATTTCAATCACAAAAAAGCAAATTAAAAAAACACTTTATTTTATTGGTAATAAAAAAAAAATCTTGGTTGATTAGCTTGGTGCAAGGAGTAGTCTCATATACCAAGAATTAGGTTGCACAGACATAGGACACGAGATACGGGAATATACGAATATGACAATTTTTAAAAAAGGTAGGACATTCACATGCTTAGGACATAGTACACTAATAAGTAATACATTAATATTTCAAATAAATAAACAATCATTTATAATAAATCATAATATAAAATAAAACAATACTTAATTTCTTATTTCAATGACACAAAAGTACATTAAAAAAATATTTTATTTTTATCGGTAATAAAAAAAAACCTTGGTTGATTAGTTTGTTGCAAGAAGTAGTCTCATATATCATGAGCTAGGTTGCACGGACACGGGATATGAAATATGAAAACGTA